GAGACAACCCGGGTCTCTCGTCGCCCGGAGCAAAAGCAGTAAGGTGTCCAAAAGCGCAGGGAAGCACCACGTCTGTACGTGCCACCACCTCATCTCCACGGAGACCAGAAGAAGCAGATGGTGCCCGGCTCTCACCCCTGACCATGCTGACCAGGGTCCTAAGAGCTGGTCCCAAATAGAACAAGGAGGGAAACACAAGGAGGAGGCACAAGTGCTTGTTTGCTGGCTTGGTTTTTACGTCAGAAGGGAGAGGAGAGCACAGAGGAGCCACTGAGACTCTTGCTCTGAGAACTGTAACCCGAGGACCGAGCCCACCCCGACACCACCTTCTCGCGGACCAGCAGAATAGCTCACAAGAGAAAGGCTCTGACGTTGGTGCCCTCCTGAAAACCACCAGAACGAGCCCCGCAGGTCCATGATAACAGACAGCACAGTGAGCGAGTGTTGACACGCTGTGATAATGTTACCAACGCTGTGTCGCAATCGTCATGAAAACCAGACTGGCTGTCTCAATGTCCCCCCCAAAAATCAACAAAACATATATTGTTTAAGACCTGCTCATTGAAAGTAAGGAAACCACAGATAGTCAAATCACTGCATCTTATAGAAGTGGAGACTGAGGCCCAGGTGGAGAAAGGGACTTGCCGTCTGTCACTTGTCCAGGCAAGGACAGACGCTGGGTAGGGAGCCAGGGCTGAGCAGGTAAGACTATGAGTCTGGAGTCAGACCCAAGTTCAAGTCCGATCCAGGCACCGACCGACTAGCTGTTGGGCACTGGGAGAGTCACAGGGCCTCTCTGCGTTCATGCCCTCTTCTGTGGCTCGGTGGCAATGCTTCAGCCTCTTGGGCACAGGCCTGGCACAGAGTGGGTGTTCAGGAGCTTTCAGAGGGATCTCTGTCAGCGTGACTCTGTTTCCTTGCCCACCTGCCAGTACGACAGGACAGAAACAGCGATCAACAACCTCAACCCTGCCTTCTCCACCAAGTTCGTCCTCGACTACCACTTCGAGGAGGTGCAGAAACTCAAGTTCGCCCTCTTCGACCAGGACAAGTCTAGCACCCAGCTGGATGAGCACGACTTCCTGGGCCAGTTCTCCTGCAGCCTGGGCACGGTGAGCGTGGTGGATGTGGTCAGTGCAGTGGGCACGGTGAGCGTGGTGGGCGTGGTCAGTGCAGTGGGCACGGTGAGCGTGGTGGGCATGGTCAGTGCAGTGGGCACCGTGAGCACGGTGGGCGTGGTCAGTGCAGCCTGGGCGTGGTGAGCGTGGTGGGCACGGTGAGCGTGGTGGGCGTGGTCAGTGCAGTGGGCACGGTGAGCACGGTGGGTGGGGCTGGCAGGACGACCCCCAGGCAGGCCCGTTGGGACACGTGTGGGGCTGCTCGCTGGAAGGTGGACAGTTCAAAACCACCGGCTGCACCTGGGGAGAAGGACGAGGCTTTCTACTTCCACAAAGAGTTACAATTTCGGAAACCCGCAGAGGCAGTGCTGCCTGCCCTACAGGGTCGCCATGAGTCAGCATTGTGAGTTTGTTGGCTCTGAGTTTTAAACATAGCTAAGGAGCCCTGGTGGTGTTGTGGTTACACATTGGGCTGCAATCCGAAAGGTCTGCAGTTTGAGACCACCAGCCGCTCTGCGCAAGAAAGGTGAGTCTTTACAAATTTTTTAAAATGAGTTACAATCTCCGACAGCCACAGGGGCAGTTCTACGCTGCCCGGTACGGCCGCCCTGAGTCAGAACTGAGTTTGGCTCTTTGGCGTTCTCTCCCTAATGCAAAGACCCTTGTGGTCAGCAGGGCCAAGATGAGGGCAGTGGCCAAGTAAAGAAGCCACTGTTTGCCCCAAAGGAAGGGGCCCAGTGTGGTCAGCGCTTCTGCTGGACGGAAGGAGTCCAATGTTGTTGTGACTTCCTGGCTTTGGGGACCTGAAACCAGCAGCCCACGTTAGCCCCACTCTGAGGCTGACTCACAGCGAGACCTTGCACGGAGTCTCTCTGCAGCCACCTGTCCCCACCCAGCTGTCCTCCCTGGGAACACACGAGGGGCAGGGGTGAGGAGCCCCAACATATGCTCCGATCATCCCTTAGGGCCCTTGGGCAAGCCCCACCCCCTTGGGCCTCAATGCCTCCCAATTTCACTTGGGGAGAATGATGACTGTGGATGGGCGGGATGTGTCCACGTGTGTCTACGGCACCCTCAGAGGACTGAGGAGAGGCCCAAGGGTAGGGGCCAGGGACCCAGGTTTTGAAAAAGCCAACCCAGGGTCGGGCCCCCAACCTGTGGCCTGGAGGTGGGACAGAGCAAGGAGCTAGCCCCCGCCCCAGGGCCAAGGACAGAGAGGCTCGCTCTATCTTGGACCTACTGCTGACACCCCCACTGGCTGAGCCCCCCAGAAACCCGAGGGCAGCAAGCTGGGGGCTGCAGGGCACAGGGTGCACCCTCAGGTCACGGAGCAGCAGTGGATGCAAGGAGGCCAAACACGCAGGGGCCAGAACCAGGGGATGCAGTTGTGCGGACATGACATTGGCAGTGCCTTGTTGATGCCAAGGTAGAGCTGCCCCGTCAGGATGTCCAGGCCGTGGGCTCTCGGGGAGCCCAACAATTGCCAGGTCTCTCTGCCAAGGTACACCTGGGTGTACCTTTGGTTTGCAGCGGAGCACTCAGCTGCCGTGCCCCAGGACTCCTCAGCACTGGCATTTTTCACAAGAGGGGCTGAGAGTGGAGCAGGCAGAGCCAGGTGGGTGACTGACCCTCTGCTCTGGCCTCAGCCCTGCTGGCTTGTGGGGCCTGTGAGTGCTTGAGTCTTTTCAAAACAAGGGGAGTTGATACAGGGACAGCAGGGGTCTGCTCCTCTGAGGATGGTGGGCCGGGCTGGGGCTTGATGCCCTGCCATGGGCTCCCTCTGGAGGAGTATGAACTGAGAGCAGGGATGGTGGGGGGTGGGGGGATGAGGGCGGAGGGGTGGGCAAGGTCAAGCTGAGGGGATCCCACCATCGATCCCACATGAGTGTCTTGACATCGCTGGGCCTGCTGGGTCTCATCAGTTGCCCAGTGTGGCTGGTCCAGGCTGCTCCCTCCCTCCCAGGGATCATGCCCGGGATGGCTCAGCCAGAGCCTGGCACTCCAGCAGAGGGTGGATCATCCTCCTGTAGCGGATGCCCTTGGGGGATTTTCCTCCTGGGTCTCCCTGCAGCCCCCACTGAGCCCCTCTCTCGCCTCTCCCCTGCCAGATCGTTTCCAGCAAGAAGATGACCCGGCCTTTGCTGCTTTTGAACGACAAGCCAGCCGGGAAGGGCTTGATTACGGTAGCAGCCTCTCCCCTAGGCCTGTTCCCGCTCGGCTCTGCTCCTTGCTACCCCACCCCTACTGCTGCCAGCCCTCCCCCATCAATGGGCCGCTTCCCTCCTGGGCAGATAATCACCAGCTTTGTTTGGAGTAAAAAGGCCCAACTTACAACTTAGCAACAGGTCTCTTAGCAACGGCTCCTGGCTCTGCCAAGGAAATGTTGCATCCACAGCCACTGAGTTGGTGGGGGGCTGCCGCAGGCCCTGAAGGGGCTCCCAGGGCAGGGGTGCGCCTCCTCTTCCCTTGCCCCCAAAGCTGTCGCTGTCTCCTTCTCCATCTCTGCACCCCTCCTGCCCCGCTGGCCCCTCCTGGATCTTTCTGAAGAGCCTTGCCCACCCCGGGTACAGAGCACCCGTTTCTCATCCTCACAGACCCCCTTAAGCAGGGCAACCTCTGTTTACAGATGAGGGAGCAGGCCCTCCCCGCAGTGTGGCCTTCAGTGCCTGTGTGATCCAGGGGACTAGCTGTGATGCAGGGGGGAGAGGATATGAGTTCCCTGGTCGATTACATATGGCCTTCAGTGCCTGTGTGATCCAGGGGACTAGCTGTGATGCAGTGGGGAGAGGATATGAGTTCACTGTTTACAGATGAGGGAGCAGGCCCTCCCCCCAGTGTGGCCTTCAGTGCCTGTGTGATCCAGGGGACTAGCTGTGATGCAGGGG